TTAGGGGTGGACTACCCCCTAACATTTAGGGGGATGAAAAATAGATGTTGGCCGATTCTCAGACCTACTCAATACGCTCACAAAATTTCATGAGGATCGGTCAAGCCGTTTCGGAGGAGTATGGGAACGAAAACTGTGACACGAGAATTTTATATACGAGTATAAGATAATGTTAAGATATACGCTTATATTTGTACATAATAGTGTATGCAAATTTTTCTGTAAGGTAATATATAAAGAGTTTTTCATTGCATTTTTCATTTTATTACTCGACGAATTCTAATATAATTAGGTACATAGATAGATTATATAATTAATTAACGAATAGACTTCCTACGAGCTGAAGGCAGCTCATAACCACGGCTAGTCGAAACATCGAGAGAGGTAAATACCTTTATTTACCATAAAATTATTCGTGTTTAAAACCCGTTTAACTATATTAATAATGCGTACGTACCATCTACTTTATCATATACTTTTTATACTAGGACTATAAAAAAACTAGATGTGAACAGTACAATTTAGTTCTTCTAAATGGCAACACATGGGGGTTACCATGGCCGTTATATAACAATGTGATATCTATGCTGTTCATCTAAATAGGTGACGGTAGCTGGTTCATCAACTTATTTGCCATTTCAGTTTTTTTCATACCACGATTGTGGCACACAGGCAAATGGCCCACCTGGTAAACGGTTATAGTATCACATGGCGTATAAAACACCAATAGTATCATGTGTAGGTTACTGTAACCCTGAAGAAACCTTAATATACCCTTATTAAAACCCTTTCATTTGGCTAAGTTTTATCACGGTTAATCATGTTCAAGTAAAGTCGCCGGTAGATGTTACACATGGCGGATACAACACAAATGGTTTCATGTGTGGGTTTCTGTAACCCTTAAGAAACCTTAATATACCCTTATTAAAAACCCTTTCATTTGGCTAAGTTTTATCACGGTTAATCATGTTCAAGTAAAGTCGCCGGTAGATGTTACACATGGCGGATAAAACACAAATGGTTTCATGCGTGGGTTACTGTAACCCTTAAGAAACCTTAATATACCCTTATTAAAAACCCTTTCATTTGGCTAAGTTTTATCACGGTTAATCATGTTCAAGTAAAGTCGCCGGTAGATGTTACACATAGCGGATAAAACATAATTGGTTTCATGTGTAGGTTACTGTAACCCTTAAGAAACCTCAATATACCCTTATTAAAAACCCTTTCATTTGGCTAAGTTTTATCACGGTTAATCATGTTCAAGTAAAGTCGCCGGTAGATGTTACACATAGCGGATAAAACATAATTGGTTTCATGTGTAGGTTACTGTAACCCTTAAGAAACCTCAATATACCCTTATTAAAAACCCTTTCATTTGGCTAAGTTTTATCACGGTTAATAATTTTCAAGGAAAGTAAAGGAAAGGACAGGAAAGCCTGCAAATGTTAGTGTAAGAATAAATAGCAGTTTTGAACAAATCCTTATCATGCTTCTGGTCGCGCCCTCTAGTCGTGTCTCTCGATAATTGTCTACACTAATATTTGTCAAGTTGCTATGAGAATATATTGTACTACGTCACAAGAGAGTAAACTTGAGGGCACAGAGGTTCTCAAATATGTGTCGTCTATCGCCCATTTTAAATATATCATTCCCCTTGCACACACACAAACTCGTAAACGAGCCGTGTCTGAACGTTGATTGATGAACAATATTACCGAGCTTATAGGAAATGTTCTAATAATTTTTCGTCTGTTCGTCTGAGGATCTGTGAACGCCGATCTCAGAAACAGCATATCCGATTTGTAGTTTTTAATTGAAATATTATAGCAAACTTCCCCGTAATCTTATTTTTATTTCATTGACGGTTATTCAAAGCAACTTTTTTTTTATTCCGAATATAATATGTATTTTGGTCATTTTCCATTACATGTCATCAAAATATTTTTTCTAAAACCTAAACTTTTTTTTTAATTAGTAAAACAAATAACACTTTGAGAACAACTGACTTAGTGTAGTATTGTTAGTAAAATAACGACAATAAAGTCTTATTACTTAGTTGTTTTTAACATTACAATAATTTGTTGCTCTAAAAATATCATAATTAGGTATTCATGAAACCACTTAATATTTTTATAGGGATCTTAATGTAACTGGATATTGAAATTGTGTTTTTAATACTACGACGTTGGCAAACAATCATATGGCCCATCTGATGGTGGTGGCTAAAGTTACGCTATCCTAATTCACCATGAATTTATCACGATGGTGTACAGAAGGAACCACGTGGAAAACCTGACATGGTACATTGCTAGTAATGGGGTTATTAGTCCACAGTACTAACAATCCCCTTTCCCCCGGGGAAGTACTATCCTCATTGCTATCATGTTAGGTCGACGCAGTCCCTTTTGGAAATCATCGCGGTTCATTCCTGATGAAATCGTCACGATGGGATAACTGATCCTCATGCTCATCCTATCATCCTCAACTAGAGCCTAGCCAGCGTATATACTATTACTAAAAATCTGTGTTTTATAATTAAAATAAGGGTTTTTCCCAGAGACTAGTAGAAACCCTTTCATATCCCTATGGTACATTTTTTAATACGTATTTTTTTTTTTTTTGCATTATACGTGTATGATTTGAAGTGTATTGTATGTATGGTAGTCTTACATACATTTGCTTGTAAAATAATTGTCTGACAGTTAGATAGATAGATAAAATCGTTATTTATATCCTCAGTGGGTATGAATATTTTTTTAAGGCAGGCGGGTAATCCAAACCATTATAATCCACAAAAAACATGTTTTCTGACACAAGAATACCAACCGAGAGTAAAACTCAATAATGCCAATCTAAAGCAAATATCAATTAACATGGCCGCCCAATATTCCTCTTAGACGATAACTAGTAAAATTACAAAATATCTTAAGAATAAAAAAAAAATAAGGCGTCGACACAAAAATATACAGCCGTATCACATATTGTAACGTCTGAAATTGATAGAATCACATTTGTATCACAAATTCACTTGAGATCACGTGGATGATACCGCGACGGATTTCGCGTCGAGCCATACGGCGAGGACGTTCTACACTGTTTGTTATGACAACTAGTAATTTCGATGCCTCATTATCAAAGTGTAGCAAAGATTATTTCGGCAGACTGTCTAATTATGTTATCTGCCTACATTATTGTCTCTGATATGTTATCTATATTGTATTGTAGTTAACATTAATCTTATTGTTTATTTTTATACTATGGCAGACTTTGTGCAGAGTTCACTGTATGGGTACCTCAGACTTGCTTCGTAAGCTGTTTCGGTTGTAATCTGTTCATATATATAGGCCACAGTTGCCACTTAATAACCCGTGTTCCTGATTGTTACAAATAACTCATGGGACTAAATAATTATTCGTACGAAATAAAGATGAAAATGAATCCTATTTTTTAAATCTTTCATATAAACAGAGCGGTCATATGATCATTTTAGCAATTGAAAATTCAAAATTACCATATACTTGGTTAAATGGTTACATTTCATGATATATACGAATATAAATGAATGGTTTTGTATGCGTTGTGTATGCGAAACATGCGTTCTCATTTCGGAGGACTAAGATGTTATACCTATGTTCCCTTTCCCTAACTTTAATCCCACTCCATAATTAACACATAGCTTAAAAAGTTTATGGCTGGATGAAATAGGTCGGATACCACATCACATAGCCCACTTTATACAAAGTCTACATATTTAAGCCGTATATAAGATCCCCAACTAGTTATATAAAGGAAATATTTTATTCTTATTCTTGAATCAAAAATGGTGGAAAATACATGGTACATCAACTTCGGATTATAAATTATTTTTTTAACGCGTCCCATGATCGTTCTGGATGTTTTCTATACACATTATGTTTGTATTTACAAAAAAAATGTATCTATGTATTTATATCAGTTGTTTAGTACCCATAACACAAGGTCTGCTTAGCTTGGGACTAAATGCCGCTGTGTGAAATGTGAAATGTTAATATTATTATTATTAAGGAGTAAAGTAGGTTTTTTTCGGACTACTCTAATACTGTTGGACATAGCTGGCCTTTGCACCTTCACTGGACGATAGGAAGCTAGTGCAGATGGCACTCTAAATCCGCGGAAGGACTTATGAAGCGCCCGAAGGCCAACTCCTGTCTGACTTAGGCTGAGGGCACTAGGCGTTTGAATCTCAGCTCGAATTTCGATCAGTTTGAATTTCGATCCCCGTTTGAATTGGACGAGGGAACGATCGAATCACATTAAGTATAATTCGTTACGGCCAGCTGCAAAACATTTTCCTCATCAAGTGGCGTACGTAATTCGTAGGCATAAACAATTTGATTGTAAATCAATTGTACCTACTGTTATATTTATAATCTATGTGACAACGCGTTCATTGGACGATTGATATCACCAGCCGTCTAATGAACCAGTTTACAGTTCAGCTGTGATTCTTACTTAAGTATATGATAAGTAATCATAAACGCAATAAATTGTGTTACGACCACAGATATATCAAGAGACAACGTAACCAGCTTGCTTTATATTACAACTTTACGACTCTTATCTGACATAGGGTAGTCAGAGGCGACAAAGCATCTTTCATCGACGTTTTAGTAAACGTGCAGCTTTTGACATGCCCCGCTTTCGGCAGGTATATTCTAGTATTACGTATTTAATTTAGCCTGTTACGAGTGTTGTCATCTCCGGAAGATGAGTCAGATATAAGCCGAGGTGGTAATTTACCCGTTAAGTTACTATAACATAATTTCATTAATTAATTTTACCGGTAATCTAAATAAACAGAACTCATAAAATAGAGTTTCTTTTCGTGTTACTATAATAATAATATAATACAAAAATTACAAGTACAATTTTTATTGTACTCATGATAAGTGAAACAGTTGCGTATTCGTTACACAGCTAAGGTCATAATTAAAAAGAAGGTTATTAAATAAACTCACCCATTATCTTCTTAGGTGGCATCTTCCTCTGCTCCCTCTCATCGCTGTCGTCCCTCCGCATCATCTTCCCACCTTCCTGCCACTTCCTCTTTCTCCCCTCACGTTGCTCCTCTAGATACATCCCGTATTCCTCCTCCCTCCCAATCACAGTGAACCTAACTGACGATTCCCAACCGAACTCCTCTTTACGTCCCTCGGGCATACTAAAGTCCCTCTCGTACAATTCCATCACACCCCCATGTCGTCACAGCACAAAATGTCACTGAATGAATGAATGAATGATATGAAATGATGAGTTCGTTCGCAGCAAACACGTTAGAAGAGAACGAAGAACGAGTTGTATAATTTCTTGATACCGGTGGTTTCTCTTTGACGATGACTTTGGAGTAGAACGTTCTCGATTTTTAGTAGCATGTTGCTACTCCACCAGAGGTGATATTGTATATGGGGTTCGGGTCCCGGGAATATCTTGGTTGTGAAAGGACTGCCAATTAGATGAGTTGGGTGGCAGTTGGCGAAGGTCTCCATGGGGTATCAACGATTGGTACCAGGATTCCGATATCGCCGTGCTGGCTTCGATCGGGCGGTGGTACTACGGCTCCTGGAAAAGACAGACGTATGTTACAATGATTCAAGTATTTACAAATTTGTTTACAATCCTATAACATAAACGGGATATATATCTCAGTCCCGGGCAAACCAGAATGTTTGACCACCTAAAAATCGTCAAAAATGGCGGTATCGAACCAACAAGCTTCAGGTCAGACTTCGCATCGCTTTGTGTGTTCTACCAAATATACGATGGACTGTGTTCTAAAGAATTGTTCGACATGATGCCCACGGTTACCTTCTACCATCGCACCGCTCGCCATCGAAATGGAATTCATCCCCACACGCTGGAACCTAAGTGGTCTCGGACAGTGCGGTTTCAGAGGAGCTTTCTCACGCGTACACTTAGACAGTGGAATGAACTACCTTTGTGGAGATTTTCTCGCGAGACTAGTTATTCAAGAAGGGTATATTAAGGTTTATTCAGGGTCAGCAAAAGCGCACATGACCCTCCTGATTGTTTTAGGCGTGCATAGGTAACGTAGTATAAAAAAAATATCATTTTTTCTAAATAAATTAACAGCCCAGCTCCCCATAGAGTTACGAACTAAATAATATCATATTTCCCACTTAATTGCTATCAACGGGATGGTAACAAGTATATTGTATCTGTATCTTATACCACGCAAGTAATTCAATAATACGTATCAATGCCGTACCGTGACAATGTCACACAACAGCAGACACACGTGACACCTTCACGACTCCTCCAATTCACATCGTTGGGCTTTTATCGAATTAAGAAAATAATGTGGAAGTTTGCAGAAGTGCTTTTCATTACTTAATGGATTGATATTATTTTGTTCAATTCATCTACCATTTGCATGTGTGCGACCAGTAATATTCAGGGTAGATTTCAAAAAATTTCAAAAATTTGATCGCCAGTACAGATAAATGTAACGCTGGAAGCGTAGCAGCAGTAGTAGCAGCGGTAGTCAAAATTAAAATTCAATAATCATTTATTCATGTAAGCCATAGCAGCTTATGAACGTCAAATTCCCTACCGACAGGTTTCCGCACTGAACATATGCATGCTATTGGCAGCAGAATTAAAATTAATATATATTATATGATATCGATAGGCTCGTCAGAGTATATTTTTGTATGGATGAATATGTAATTGTGCTCCCGCGTGCGCTAACAGTATACTTAGGGGTACCAGTGGAGGATAATAGAATGATTCAGGTCTGTTAGACCATCATGCCAAATTCAGCAGACGCCGATGGTTTCCAGAACCAAGTAGAGGTTAATCTGATGATGCAAACATTTGTATACTGGAATATGATTGATTGTATTGACTTGGGTGTTCTTTTGTATATATTTTATATTTATAAAAAAGTATTTCTATAAGTTGTCTAATACCTATAACACAAAAATTACAATAAAACTCGGACTCACCTTTAGTCAACATGAAGTTGAAATCGAGAATAAAAGATTATGCACCGTAAACAGACGCGACAAAGTACAATCTGCCTACAACCTAGCAAACGGCAGCACCTACATTATCTACCAAATAATAGATATACAAACTATGTAAGTCTTGTCACAATCGCTTAATGAGGTGCAGACAATTGAACTGGATCGCATTTAGGACGTACTATTGAACAGTAACTTGATATTGTCACTAGATACACGCATTGGATGTGTGGTCATAGAATATTGCACAGAAGGTACAAAATCATAATCATAATATTTATTCATATAGGATCTTTTGACCTCTTGAACGTCATATTTTTATATCCAGTTAGGCTGAGTAGAACTACCAAAAAGCTCAACTAAACGAATGTAAGTAAACAACAAATGAACAAAGACTCGTACCTCAGATTGTGAATGTCATAGCTATTCTATTGCCGATGTATTGCAGACTGATAACAATTTTTTAAATAGAAAATTGACAGTTGTCATTTATTAATACAAATACCAACATACCACATAGTCTTGAAATTGGAATCATGTGTTAATATTTATACAATTTTTTATGTATTGCTTATATAGCAACCACATATGATTTGCAGTAGTGGAGGAATGCGATATGAATTAGTTAAACAATAAAGCCTCAATAACATTCAAGCTTAATAAATTTAAATGAAATATGATCAAATTTCGAACACAGTGCGATCACTAGCAAAAGCACTCAATGAAGACATATGAACGTAGGCAGTAAATAAATTCTACCATTATATCTGTTATAGTATTTTAATCTACGAGTTTAGTTTTAGAAAAGTACTGCTTTAGAGATATGTGTTGACATACATTTAATGTGTTTATATTTAACATATTACATCATACGTATAAATCATGTTTATCTTTAAGCCTGTATTCCTAGAAGGGATGAATATGAAGTCTTGATATGTTTAATTAGAATAACATATTAATGTTATTGACAGTGCAGATGTCATAAGTAATGAGTCCCATAAGAGAACCATGGGAGTACGAGTCTATGATTACAATTAAAATAAACCAGGACAATCGACACAGTGTCACCTGGCCCAAACAAAGCAGAACTGGTACTATGGGACAGACTGATAGAAATACATACTTATATACATTTCTTAGTGTAGATATCATACGTAGGTACACTTAGATTGTGAAATGAATTGACCTGCCGAAATTTTCTCATGAGACTACAGCATGAGGTTTTTCAAGAAGGGTATATTAAGGTCTCACACGCGAAAGTGTGTGAGTATGGAAAGATGTTTGTTACTCTTTCGCTTGATGAAACTTTACAGTAATATAGCTTATACATCAGAATAACATATAGGCTAAAAATTACTCGCTGTACCCGCGGTTGAAACCGTGGGTACAGCGAGTATATTCCTCTAAATATGCATATATTTAGAGATACTGTGCATATAATTGCACAGTATAGTACCAAAAACCAGAAGTAATCATAATAATAATATTTCAGGACAATTCACACAGCGCCATCTAGTCCCAAGTTAAGCTTGTGTTATGGGTACCAACAACTGATAGAAATACATGGATATATTTTTCTTGTAAATAAATACATATTATACATAGAAAACACCCAGACCGATACAAACAATCATACTCATGAATACAAATGTTTGTACCGTGCGAGGAATCGAACACGCCATCGGATAGTAAGGCGGTGAGCCGACCATTAGACCACCGAGGCTGTCAATGTGTAATATAAATGACTTTGCACTTCTGTTCTTTGTATTCTGTGATACTATCGAATCAATCAAATTGGTAATACACCTAATAAGTACCGATAATATACACCAATATCCTTGATAACGTAGCTATTAATAATTCTGGATATTAACAATGATAAGGTGATAACGCATGAAAGCCGGATTTATTGTTGTTTCTGTTGTGTATTCAGAGCCATAAAAATATGTGTCTATGGTTATGATTAATTACTTGGTCTATGGTCTGTCTGTGTGTCGAGTCGAGTCATATAACAAAGGGTTGTCGTGTTAAATATAAGTAATATAATCATATATAATAAAAGAGTCATATATAATACATCTGCAGTATTATTAATAATATACACCTAATTGAGCAACGAGCAAACACGAAAGTTTCTTTGTACAATTTGTTTTTAAATATACCTAAACAAATATTGCGGTTGGCAAATGGAAAACGAGACGGCCTCGATGGTCTACCGGTTAACTACTCCGCCTCACTTCCAATGGTCCTAGGTTCGAATAGTAACACGACAAAACATTTGCAAGTTTCATTGTTTGTTTTGATCTGCGTGTTATTTATGTATATTATGTATAATATGTAAATAAATGTATTTAGGTATTCTATGAGTAGATTAGCACTCGCAGTACAAGCTCTGCTTAGTTCAGGATTAGATGGTGCTCAGTAAATTGTCCAGGGTCATTATTATTATTAGTATTAGAACTATTCTGATTTTGATGATTATATTCGTAATCTGTACGTACTACTAAAAGCAGCAGAAAATAGAAAGGCGCTAATGTTATTAATGTAAAACTGAATTCGTTTTATACACTTTCCCGCCTAACTTTTACCGAATCATTTCATAGTATAAAATAAAGTCGCGGTCGCTGTCTGTCCGACCCTATGTATGCTTGAATTTTTAAAACTACGCAACGGATCTATTAGCGAATTTTTTTAATACATAGAGTGATTTTAGAGGAAGGTTTATATATATAATACATGTACACCCGGGTGAAGCCGGGGCGAGTAGTTAGTTAAACATTAATCATGAAATTATATAAATAGCATTAGGGATAAAGAATAAAGACTAATTTCATAAATCGAAACGAAAGAAAGAATGGTAGAACAACCAAAAAAACAAGTATTTATATCAAATTATAATTATAACCCTATTGCTCCCTATAGTAAAGTACCGTAACAGGTTGACTCAACAAGGTCCCTGGTAACTACCGTAATAATTTCACCAGGAACTGACCTAACCTCATATTCATCCAGTATAGTCCATCTGTGTATAACATTAACGCAGGCCGTAGCACTATGTCCCACTCCACCGCATTACGCCCTAAGAAATCCTCGCCTTACTCAGGGAAGAAGGGGGAAATTGTGGGTTCCATAAGGGAAGAGATAGGGCCCATTGGTAGAGAAGGCCATAGGCGTTGGAGTAGCTATGGACTTTCAAGTCCGCGGGTCCGACCATATGGCGTTAGACTGGGGACATCTTGGAGAGGGGTTTACCATACTAAAAAAGACACATTACCTATACACACCGCACCTTCAAAACACAACACAGCACTTGACCACAATAACTAGTTGGCGAATCGTAGTCTCTAAGCCGTATTGGCAAAACACCAGCTCGGTACCGCCATGTTTGAACCAGATATCATTTTTCAATCGACCATCTTGCAAAATGTCCGTCGAGACGCAGCAGCGAGAGCAACACTAGTGGGACAGTAATTGGCTCCAAGACGCCAATATGGCGGTTAATTCGCTGACCAATAGAATGAACATGGTCGAATTGGAACCACTTGGTAGAGGGTCACATGGACGACGGGTCATTTGTTCTGGGTACTGCTAAAGTATTCTGGGTTCTGTAGATAAACCATGTCAAGACAGGTTGGAAAAATGTTAGAATAGAATTTCAAATGCGTGGATTCTCTTTTCGGCAAACAAGCTGACGATACATTAGGATTAAATAGAAAATTCTTAATTCTCAAATAAACTTAAATTTAAGCACTTTTTCAAAATCATACTTATTTTTCTTGAATCTACCGCTTATTCGGAAAGCTGTCTCATCACAAGAAGAACGAGCAAGAAACTTATGTGTTACTCTTTTAAATAATAATAACTTTACACTTTTAAATTGAAATGTATGAATACGAACTGCCAACTAGAACTCATTCATTTGATGCTAAAGAGGGCTGTATAGTCTATCGATTTTGCACTCCACTTTACTTTTGATAGACGTATTTTTATTAATACCTAATGTAAAAGTTCTGCTCAATAAAGGTACTAGATGTTGTGCGCTGCGTGATTTGTTCTGGGTATATCTGGGTCATGAGGACATTTGTTACCGTAACTTTCGTCCTTCTAGGAACTTATTTCCGCATGTTTCTGCACATAGTACCAGCTTCATGTCTAATTCGTTCACATTACATGCCATAAAATTCTGGAATGATTTACCTCTTGACATAAAATCCAGCGCTACCAAATTCATATTTAAATCTAAATTACGTCGATATCTTTCGCCAAAACCAGAATAATTCTTATACTAATGTCATAGTTAAATAGCATTTTTCTTACTAACGCATCTGAACATTCACTGCTTTTTAAGGTTTTTTATTTTAGAATTTTGAGATTTGTGTATTTTCAATTATATGTGTATGTATGTAGATTTACGTGTATGTAGTTACATTTATAAATATTGAGTATAAGTGCAATTATTTATTTAATATTATGTGTTATATATGATTATGTACTGGTTTAAATTGGAATCATAGTTTTTTTACATTGTTATTTTTAATTATATACATATTTTTTTATTTATTTTTTAAAATGTACTTCTCACATAAATCTCTGTTTGCCCAATGGTTGACTGGGAGAAAATACCTCATGGTGTTAAGTCCGCCATATGCATCTATATTTGAGTATATGTGCATTAAAGTTTTAATAAATACATTTAATAAAATAATAATTTTTTGTACACAATGAAATTAAACCCAGTCGACCAAAGCCGCGGATTAAAATCCATACTAATATAACCCTAAAAGGCGAGTTCTGAAATGCATGGAAAAAAAACGTTCTCGTTTTTTTTTCATTGACAATTAAAGACAATAGTTTTAATGAGCTTGTGTCAGTAAGAGCAGTATATTAATTGATATTTATTGGAGCAATTAGACGTTTCGCGTATGTAGCAAATTCCAGGGATGAGATGAGATCTCTATCTTAATGTACTATGAGTAACATTTTTAATTCTAAGTAATGCTTTTTGAAAAACAAAAAACTCTGGGCATTGTATTCTTTTGGAGCCATCCACATGATGTTTATTATATTTTTAACCAACATTGGAGATTTAAGAGTAAAAAAATCACGTATATTTTTTAGTATCTACAAAGAATTTTTAGGATATTATCTTTATACAAAATTCTCGTGTCACAATATTAGTTACCATACTCCTTCGAAACGGCTTGACCGATTTTTATGAAATTTTATATGCATATACAGTAGGTCTAAGATTATCTATATTTCTAAGTGATAAGGGTTGTCCAGTCCCAATATTTTCTTTTTTATATTTTGGACATTGTTTTATTTTTTTGTAATGTGGCATTAAAAATACATACAACCCTAAATTTTCACCCTTATATCACCGACGTCAACTTTTTACAGCGATATTAGTACTTAAACTTTTATAGCAAAACAAGTCTTTACATAGAATCTTTTCGGTATAGAATCGTTTGACGAAAAAATAAATACACGTCCTATTTCGATTGGACCAAATATCACCAGGGGCTCCGTCGTATTTAAATAAATATAACATTCAAGTCTGTAAAAAATTTACCCTTAACCTGCTTAAGGGTAAGATTTTCACAATTGTAAAGTAAAATAGAGCATGAAAGTGTGTATGGAAATTCGTCATTCGTCGTTTATTCCAGGCAAACGAAGTCGTGGGCAAAGCTATTAGCTTTGCCCACGACTTCGTTTCCAATATCTATATATATAAATAAAATTGGAGTGTATGTTTGTAATATTGAAATAACTGTTTTTTACTACATGTATATGAATATACGGTACATAAACCAAAATAAGATTTTTTATAATTTTTGTCTGTCTATCTGTCGGTCTGTTTGTCCCGGCTCATCTCTGAAATGGCTGGACCGATTTTGATGGGACTTTTTTTGGCAAGTAGCTGATGTAATAAAGAGTAACTTAGGCTACTTTTATTTTAGAAAAATAAAGTTAAATTACAGGCGGACGAAACGGCGGAAACAGCTAGTAACTAATATAATACATAAACACACTCACCATCAACTGTACACCCCTGAAGCACCACAATGTCCAATTCAGTCGAGTTTCCTTAACTCTCTATATGCAACAGCCAATTTTATTTTGCGGATGTAAATACTGATTATTTCCATGAAAGCTTCTACACGGAACTTATGCAATGTGGTTATCTCTTTCTGTCTTCTAATTGCTGCGACTTCTCTCAATGTTGCATTTTACTCTGCGTCTGTAATAAAAAAAAACTTTATTACGATAATAATATGAATATCTCTCATTCACACAGCGCCATCTAATCCCAAGCTAAGCAGACCTTGTGTTATAGGTACTAGACAACTGGTATAAATTTTATATTAGTGCACCGCCAACAATCTTTCTCTGCACCACTCATGGTTGACAGGTAGATAACGCCGCAAGATGTTAAGTCCGCCATATGTGCACATTGTTTTTGTGCATTAAAGTTAAATAAATAAAAAAAAAAAAAAATGTATATATATAATATATATATTTTTAAATACGTAGAAAACATCCGGACCCCAAATACAAACAATCGTATTCATAAATATAAATGTTGGCGTAGTGCGAGGAATTGAGCCCGCGACCATCGGATACTGATACTATATAACTGATACAAATACATAGATATTTATTTTTCGTAAATACATACATATTATACATAGAAAACACCCAGACCGATACAAGCAATTATACTCATGAATACAAATGTTTGTGCCGTGCGAGGAATCGAACCCGCGACCATCGGACGCATAGCGGTGTGCTAGACCGCTAGACCACCGAGGTCGTCGATTTTTAGAAAGACATTTAGAAATAAAGATTTTTCTATTCTATTTAGAGGTGGTAGTAAAATTACAAGGTACGAAGGCTTAAGAACTTTGTACCAAGAAAGGGCAATGCATCAGGTACATCACGGGTGTCACATAATGACCTGATCCTGTTCATGTGGATATAGGCCACGATTTCCATCCGATGGGTCATCAGCATGTTTGCCATTCAAGGGATTAAAAAAAAACACTCTTTCCATTCAACGGTTAAAGATTAAGTGGAACACGTGAAGGGAAGCAGTAATTTCACAATTGCGCATCTAATTGGGGTCTTGTCAACGTAATTTGAACTTTATTACGTCGCAACAAGGACTGATCAATGTAATGGACAATCAACTAGGTCTAGTGAAGATTTATAAGGAACGGAATCAGTTCAAACCAGACTTGGCGGGAATTTTGCAGTGTTCAGTAGAAAATATTTAAAATACTAGCAGAACTGGCCACGCGTTGCTGAGGCTAAGGTTCTTGAATAAAATATTATTGCGGCTATAAATTAAGATGTAAGCTATCCTATCTTTCAAGTTGGATCAAATTGCACACAATGTGCAAATCAAATTTGCAATCGGTTCAGTAGTTTAGATGTCCATCGCGGACAAACAACATGACACGTAATTTTTATATATAAAAAATACATATATATGTCTTATTTATATTATTTTTAATATATTTGTGTATGGTAGTTTTTTTAAAGGATCTTCGTGTTGTACTAAACTTCAAACTATTGCGTAATATTAATGTATTTAGAAAGAAAGAAAGAAAATACATTTTCTCGAAAGATACACTTAAAATATACAATAAAAAAGGAATATAAATACATAGGGATCATTCATTATGATATCGAAATATATATATATTTAATCCTGTTGAAATAACATGGATAATACTTGTCTTTGACTTAGAACAAAATTAAAAAGTATAAAAACCGAAATAGTCGAACTTTTTAGAACTTTATTTTATCAAACAAAATAGCTACCCGTCACTACTTCGCGCGGATCTATACAAGTCTTTGAATTTCTCGGCTTGTTCTATACTATAACACGCATATATTATACAAATAAACCTTCCTCTTGAATCACTCTATCTATTGCTGAAATCTGCATTAGAATCCATTGCGTAATTTAAAAGATATAAGCGAACAGACAGCGGCGGGGACTTTGTTTTTTACTATGTAAAGAAATACGATCAAAAGTCACACAAACATACGGTTACAAATTATATGGCTTAAATAAATTGGTAATATTGTAATGTTTATTACGTTTATTCATTTAAATAACATGGAATTTATTTACCTTACTTTTACTGTACTATGTACTAGAATAAACATGGAATAAGTTTTAAAAATTTAGTTATAAATACTTATAATAAGATCTTGGCCTATAACGACAAATAGAATAAAAAAATTAGTAGATATATATACTATCACATTCATTTTAAGAACAAATTTGGTTTAAGACAAAGCTCACTACGTTCAAATTAAGAACACAAGTTTTGACACGTGATTTAAGAAAAAAAACTCACCAAAAGGCATCGTATCCGCAAACAAGTTTTAAAACACCCATTTTTAAAACTTCCAAATTTAAAAATTAAAAATT